CTGACCCCTGGGACCGCAAATGGGACGTTGACTACAATACTAAAGACCTGACGGCACAACTGACCCGTATTGACAGTCCGGGTCGGTATGTGTTTCCATACTCGCACCGGGATATGAAGTTCCCGTCCACTGGCCTCGACTTTGATCTAGTGTTTGAGAGCAAACATGCGCAGTCAAAGTTGTTAATGAGTATGGAACCTGGTGATTTGAATGGTGGTACAATCAGATTCTACAAGGTTGAGAAGTATGGAATGGAACAGTTGTTTAATGGCAACACTACTCGACCGGAGTTTTTGCTGTCGACGGGTCAACAGATTGTGTCTATGATTAGAGGCTATAGACGTGAGTCAACGAGTAGTGCGAACATCAGGTTTATGTACGAAGTGGTGGACTCGCAGTGCAGTCAATACAAACAGGTATTACACAAACAAAAATTTACGTTTTTAGAGATTAATTAAATATTGGTCTTTTTTCCCCACCCATTAAAGTAAATTATATTTTATTCATATAATAATTTTGGTGTTATTTGGATTTTATGTTGACTATAAAAAATAAACATCTGTAGCTATGTTACATAGCCTATGTACATAATCTTAATAAAACAACATAGAAATTGGAGTAATTTTAAGTTTTAATATGAAAATTTAGATTTTTAATGCGGTTAACATTAGACAATACATCAAATTAAAATCTTTTAAATTTATAAACAATAAATTGTTAAAATATAATAGTAATTAAAAATCAGTAGTAATTTATTATGTTTTTTAGTTAAAACAGATAATTATATCTACATATTTGTGACTTTGTGAAACCTATTATAACCAGTTATAGACTATAGTTTAATTTAGTCAATAATTTCATTAAATAAATAAAAGTAAAGCATGCCTAGTGAAAAAATAATTCACCTTGGCATCTTTGTACTCCAATTAAATAAATATTTTAAAATCGTTACTGTTTACGCTATAAACACTTTATATTTACAATCTGCATAATATGAAACATAAATATCATTTATGTAACTTTTGTATTATTGAATATTGAATATACAATATATAAAAGTCAAATAAATATTAATAAAATTTTTTATTTCAAGATGACTGAGACTGAAAATGTCACAACTGTACTCCTGCCCGATAACCAAGCGTTGCAAACATTACACCAGTATAAATGTGTCAACATCTATGAGCACCATGATGTTTCGGCCAGATTTGAGCTACGATTAGATAAATTTAAAGCCTTTATAAACAGCGCCGATATTATGACCGTATCGGACGGTCTGTCCCAACAGTGCCCTCCGCTCGCAGTCATTGAGCGTCAATTGCTGGACACGTATTGGCGCACAAAGTATTTGCAATCGACGACAAACACCATTACTGTAACCTATGAATCGAGACGTGTGGTCAACACTACTCGCAGCGATGATAATTTAATTGGCATACAGACGGTATATCATGGTAAGCATTGATAAATTGAATTGCTACATACATTTGTCTATTAATATAATAATTTATAAAATAATTTTAAAATGTTAATTAGGTCAGTTACCATAAAAATAATATTACTATTTTTATTATAGCAATCATAATTATGAATGTTATTATTACAGTTTGTAGGGTTAAAACAAATAATATTAATAACTAACATTAATGATATATTTGTTTAATTAGGATCACTTGCATTATAGATCCTTTATTAACTAATTCTAATTAAAATATTATTAATAATTTATTGTAGATTACAATGAAACTATTTTATTTTAACAGGCGGTAATTATAAATTTCTGAGTGATGAACTGACATATCAGTTAATAATAGACATGAACACATCGACACACATACAGTCAAATCCCGGTATATACACGTTTGAAACGGACAACGATCACCAATTAGTATTGGAGCTAAACGCTTCGGTAATACAACCAGGCTCATTGGATCATTTGACGCTATTTGACGTCTACAATAACGTGGATAGAGATGTCAGCGATCATCACAAGTTAATTACACTCTACTCGGGCTCATACGGACCATCAATAATACCGTCAAACACTAATCAATTGAAACTAGTGTTTCACCAACGGGTCGACTATCAGCTCGTTGTGCGCCGTGTGCTGAGGGCCGGCAACTGTAACACTACCGCCGCCTGGCGTTCAATCACTGGTTTTAATGTGAACACACAGACAACCAAAACATGTTATTTACTTATGCCCGGTAGACCTGACCGTACAAACGCGTCGATAATTTTGCGCTGGACTGAGCTCAAGCACGCCACCCCTGACGATTGGATTGCCTTGTATAAAGGTTCCATGTACGACAATCAAGGTTACGAGTTCATCATTGGAATTACTAGTAATAAAAAAGTTTGACATATTTTTACTTTTATATAACAAACACTAATCGTTTAACTTAACCATGTTTAACAGATATTGGTCATATGACAAGTATGCCCGATGTAATATTGGCAGCTAATGAAACGTACAAGCTGCAAGTGTGGCGTTCAGCAAATTCTTGGTCCGAACGCCCACTGATGGTCACCCTATCAGTCGAGTACACGGACCGGGCTGTGATAGACAAAAACATGACCTTTACTGATCACGAATTGACCGTAAACACCCAAAACTATCCGGGCGATTACCCCGTTGGCAACACCTTTCAATGGCTACTCAACAGCGATAACTCTATGGGAAGTGAACCCAAATGGACTATGGCTTTGGTTACGTTTGATGACATTGATATGAACCGATACCACAGCCTATCGGTGAATAATCAATTGATCAAGCGCAACACTGGCCACAAACATGATCAATTACCGGCCGATATGGTAGTACCGCTACCATTTAACATCACGATGGACACTCGTTCTATTTCCCCATCCGACAATCATGGTCGAATAAGCGCTAGGGGCATAAAAGCCAGGGTAACTCCAGCTAATTGCGGCGGCGCCTACACTGTTAAACTCGGCCAAGAGTTAACAATTAAGGGCGTGACCACCGGTAGTCAATTAGACGTCCGGTGCGTTTTGACAGTAACGGCTCAAGATGACCCGGATCATTATCCGTTTGATCGGAATTTGGTGCTTACGTATCCACCCTATGCCACCCCGTGGGTTGTTTATGACTCAAACACACTCCGGGATGATCGCAAAATCAAACATGATCACGTATGGAATTATTGGTATACCTCATCGACAAACACTATGGTTGTTCTTTTAAACCACACCTATTATGGTAGTCTATACAAACCCACATTCACCGTAAAGGCACTAGGTTAGTTTGTTTATACATTAATAGTAAAAATACTCATTAAGAATTTTAATACAATTAGTAATTCATAATCCTGTTATAAATTTACAAAAAAAATATATTACCTTCACGCTATATCCATAACATAAATGTTACTCTTTGACAATAATTATATTGTCATATTGTATATATTGTTACAGTTTTAATATTAATATATTCAAAAAAAACTATAGTCTATATTTTTCTAATATATTAAAAATATAACAACACTTTTTTAATTTTTTATATTAAATTAGATATGTTGCGTATTTTTGCCATATATATATCACTTGATTTTAAACTACCTGGACATTTTTACAGTGTGCGCAAGAATGTGTGACAATGGGCAACGTTGTTTATTACCCAATTTCTGGTGCAATGGGGTCGACGATTGCGGTGATTGGTCCGATGAAAGGAATTGCAACCCTACGCCCACGTGTCCGCCCAGAGTGACCAATAGAGGTGGTGAGTGCAACAGTTCAAATTTGTATATGCTATAGATAACACAGATTTAATTAATAAAATTAATTTTAAATTATATATAGCCTGGATCGGCTGGATAGTGCTTGGTGGGATGACCACCTTGCTAATATCAGGCGTATTAGTTTGGGCTGTCGTACGGTATGTCAATCGAAAGCGTAATGGTTACGCAATTCGCATCGAGTAGAGTGATTTTTTGTAGCCTGACAAAATTTTGTATTGTTAATACTTATTATTATTATTTACTGTCACTACAATATAAAAAATTAATGTAATTTAGATGTTGCAACGCACAATTTAAAAGTATACTGTTGTATCTAATAAATATTTTCAAAATTACAATGCTCAATAATAATTTTTAACTTCAATTCAGATTTCATAATTTATTCTTATATTCTATGACCACCAAAACCATAACAATTTACAAATAATAATATTAAATAATTTTTTAAATATAGAAATCTTTATGAATTGTTATTTTAAAAACAATCATACTGCATGTGTAGCCCGATAAAATAAGGCACAGGCTGAAGGGCAAGGGCAAGCGCTTGCCCTTGCCCTTTCCCAATAGGCACTTTTACACTATTTATGTGGTATATAGTCGACCCAAATGCCGATGACATTGGGCAAGCGATATCATTTGCCCATCATTTTTCCGTCAATTTTGACATTTTCACGGAAAATTTATTTTATTAAAAATTTTCCAAAAATGATTTTTTAAATCTAAAATTATATTTAAAAAATTATTAAATTTAATTTTAATTAACATATTTTTGAAAAATAAAAATTAATTTTTTTCCGTGAAAATGTCAAAATTGACGGGAAAATGTGTTGCCCCTCTTGCCCTACTTTTGCTTAGCCGGCATTTGGGCGCATCAGACACCGCATAAAATGCAATCACTGCATAAAAAGGAGTAGGGCATAAAATGAAGGTCAAATTAGTGTGTGCCTTAGAGTTCTACCATAATTATATATTAATATCAAGTTTATTATTACAGTTTGTAGGACTGTGGCAAATCAAACAATGTTTATTAATACTTTATTATTTACTATCTAATATTTATTTCTAAAATATTTATATTTGAAATAAATAAATAAATTGTTACAAATTGTTTTGCTAAAAACAAACAACATTGATTTGATATTGGCAAATATTGGTACATGCATATTATTATACTTATGATGTCAATGTAGAATTAATAAAGAAATTATTTATGAAATAAATTATATTGATTAGTTTAAAAATGAGATATACGTAAGATGTATGTTGTTTGTTGTTTATTATAAATATAATAAATCATTATTGTAGTCATGACATTAGTGACAGTCTTTGTTATATAACTATAACTGTCTTTGTTTTGTCCTTGCTCTTAATAAGAATGGATAAGTTTACAATTATCAGTTTGTTAATTATTATATCAGGATCAATTACTAAAGGTAATGAGCATTTGGGAACAGGTATGTCACAAAAATGTGCTTTTCATACGCTTGTAGAAAAATGACTAACTTTACAAATTTGACAATAAAAATAACCTTAATTAATAGATTGTAATCTTGATAAATCTCGACCCACACTCAATGCCCCGACCGGTAAACTCGCCATTAATATCGCGCCCCACAAACTGGCCGGTCATACCTGCGAGTGGCTCATCAACGGGACCGGCGCGTGGGTACCGGCCATAATACACATGGACATTCAGGCCATGACCTTGAATAGTAGTTGTGCCGTCAGGTCTTTAGTATTGTAGTCAACGTCCCATTTGCGGTCCCAGGGGTCAGATGACAGGGTCAGGGTTACCCTCACCACTTTATGCCCGGTAGGCAATAGAATTACACCTGGCTCCATATGACCGTAGTGTTCGTAGAGCACAGATTTACCATCGCGAGTAGTGACCCTGAGCAAATCTCTACTATTTAAAGTCATGGCTTGAATGTCCATGTGTATTATGGCCGGTACCCACGCGTCGGTGCCGTTAATAAGCCACTCGCATGTATGACCGGCCAGTTTGTGAGGCGCGATATTAATGGCGAGTTTACCGATCGGGGCATTGAGTGTGGGCCGAGGTTTATCCGGATTGCAATCTATTAATAAATGTTATCTTTATTGATATCTTTTAATTTTAATTTTAATAATTTTAATTTGCAATGTTGGTTATTTTTCTACAAGCGTATGATTTTTTAACATACCTGTGCCCAAATGCTCATTGCTTTTAGCAATTGATCCTGATATAATAATTAACAAACTGATAATTGTAAACTTATCCATTCTTATTACGAGCAAGGACAAAACAAAGACAGTTAAAGTTGTATAACAAAGACTGGCACTAATGTCATGACTACAATAATGATTTATTAGATTTATAATAAACAACAAACAACAACAAATATATTATATAATAAGTTAAAGTATATAATATAATTAATACATTTATATTTATTATTACTTTATATTTAGCAAGCACAGTTAAATATTAAAACATTGATTGCCAATGGTTACCAACTTTCAATACAAACAGTTTATTACAAAATATTTTATTTGATGAGCAAAATAATACATTCACTTCATTTAGGTGGTGCATTAAAATTTAAAGTTATGTTATTATTTAAAGATTTATAAATATTTTTTACAATTAGTTTTATTTACATAAATAGTTACATTTATTTATAATGTCCACAAAGAGAAATTTCCATTATTTACAAAATGGAAAGGCATAACTAGAATAACATTTCTCCTATAGATTTAACATTAGCTATAGAATTAAAATTACCATCATTAAAAAATGTAGAAAATGCAAAATCCCATAGACTTAAAATAGAAATTAAAAAACTATTTTCCCCCATAATTTTTTATTTCCGTTTTGATAAGATTAGTACATGAAAGTCAAAGAAAGAGATTTGATAGAATTAATATTGCCTGTGTTTAGTCTATGTCATACGATTAACATGCAATCTAGTGTTTTTTACCTTGGGGATAACGATGGTCCGGATTAAATTTATAATCATCTGTTATTCTTGAGAAATTAACCTAAAAATTATTATTGAATAATTATTACATACAACAGTACACTTGTAAATTGTGCGTTGCAACATCTAAATTGCATTAATTTTTATTGTAGTGAACAAAAACAAAATTTTGTTCGGCCAAAAATAATAATTTGCAGTCATCTCGACTACACTCTACTCGATGCGAATCGCGTAACCATTACGCTTACGGGTGACATACCGTACGATAGACCAAACTAATACACAGGATATTAGCAAGGTGGTTATCCCAGCAAGCGCTATCCAGCCGATCCAGGCTATATATAATTTAAAATTAATTTAATTAATTAAATCAGTTTTAGCATATACTAATTCAAACCGTTGCACTCACCACCTCTATTGGTCACTCCGGGCGGACACGTTGGCATAGGGTTGCAATTCCTTTCATCGGACCAATCGCCGCAATCGTCGACCCCATTGCACCGGAAATTGGGCAATAAACAACGTTGCCCATTGTCACACATTTTTGCGCAAACTGTAAAAATGTCCAGGTAGTTTAAAATCAAGTGAAATATATGGCAAAAATACGCAACATATCTAATTTAATATATAAAATTAAAAAAGTGTTGTTGAATCTTTAATTTATTAAAAAATATAAAATATAGTTTTTTCTAATATATCAATACTGAAAACTGTAACAATGTATACAATTTGGCAATATAATTATTGTCAAAGAGTAACATTTATGTTATTATAGTGTTTTGTAAATTTATAACAGAATTATGAATTACTAAATGTATTTAAAATCTTAACAACTATTTATTACTAATAATGTATAAATAAACTAACCTTGTGCCTTTACGGTCAATGTGGGCTCGTATAGACTACCATCATAGGTGTGGTTTAGAAGAACAACTATAGTGTTTGTCGATGTGGTATACCAATAATTCCATACGTGATCATGTTTGATTTTGCGATCATCCCGGAGCGTGTTTGAGTCATAAACAACCCATGGGGTGGCATAGGGTGGATACGTAAGCACCAAATGCTGATCAAACGGGTTATGATCCGGGTCATTTTGAGCCGTAACTGTCAAAACGCACCGGACGTCTAATTGACTACCGGTGGTCACGGCCTTAATTGTCAACTCTTTGCCGAGTCTAACCGTGTAGGCGCCGCCACAATTAACTGGAGTTACCCTGGCTTTTATGCCCCTAGCACTTGTTCGACCAAAATGGTCGTATGGGAACATAGTACAAGTGTCTATCGTGATGTTAAATGGTAGTGGTACTACCATATCGGCCGGTAATTGATCGAGTTTGTTGCCAGTTTTGCGCTTGATCAATTGGTTATTTACCGATAGGCTATGATATACGTTAAGATCAATGTCATCAAACGTGATCAAAGCCATAGTCCATTTGGGTTCACAAGGGTATCTCAATAGCGACAAGTCATCGGTTACTTTTTACGACGGTTGCCCCATTAGCGGGCCTATCAAAACCCACGAGTGCCAGTTAAGTACTAACAAATCGCATTACAAGAATAATTAATGTAACCGTTCGGTATATTCAACAGATAGGGTAACCATCAGTGGGCGTTCAGACCATGAATTAGATGAACGCCACACTTGCAACGTGTACGTTTCATTAGCTGCCAATATAACATCAGGCATATTTGTCATGAGACCAACATCTGTTACACATGGTTAAGCCAAATGATTAGTTTTTTAAAATAAAAGGTGAAAAATGT